AAATGAAAAACATAAAAATTCTTCAAGTTTACTAAAAATGAAAAAGACTAACCTTCAAGATTAATCTCCCAAATCTTTAATTTTGTTATGCATCTCTTAAAAACCTTATTTAATTTAGCTGTATCCAAAGAAAAACACTAATTCAGGACCAAGATGGAAATATGTAAGCAATCACTTAAAGAACCCTCTGAATTGATGGGAGAAATGGTGCAGAAAAGTTAAAATATAAAGGATTTGAGGGGCTTCTAGTTGGCTCAGGTAGTTAAGCTTCCAACTCTTGATTTCAGTTGAGCTCATGGTCTCAGGGTTGTGAGATCACTGAGCCCTGTGGCTCTGTGCTGGGCATGTAGCCTGCTTAAGATTCTCTCTCTCTCTCTTTCTCTCTTTCCCCCTCTAAAAAAACAACAAAGAACCAGCTTTTTATTTAATTGATTTTCTCTATTTTTATTTTTATTTTGGATTTTGTTGGTTTCTTCTATTATTTTTATTTATTTCCTTCCTTCCTCCTGTTTCCCCTGCTTGTTTTGGGTGTTTTTTACTGTTCTTTTTCTAGATTCTTGAGGTGGGAGACTAGATAATTGATTTGAGGCTTTTTCCTCTTTTCTTAGTGTTATAGATATCCCTCTCTGCACTGCTTTAGCTTTGTTGTCTTTTCCTTTTCTTCTTTTAAAAAAAGATTTTTTTTATTTATTTGACAGAGAGTACAAGCAGGGGAGTGGCAGGCAGAGGGAGAGGGAGAAGCAGGCTCCCCACTGAGCAGGAAACCTGATGTGGGGGCTCAATCCCAGGACCCCAGGATCATGACCTGAGCCAAAGGCAGACACTTAACCACTTAACCGTCTGAGCCACACAGGCACTCCTGTCTTTTCATTTTCTATCCAGCTTGATATAGTTTTTATATCTTTTGAGACTTTGTCTTTGATCCAGGGATTAATTAGAAGTGTGTTGTTTAGTTTCACGTGTTTGAAGATTTTCCTGTATTTTTATGTTATTGCTTTTTTAGTTTGATTCCATTTTGACTGGAGAACCCACACTGTATGATTTTAATTCTTTTAAATTGGTTGAAGTTTGTGTTATGGCCTTGCTTATGTAGTTTATCTTGTATATTTTCTGGAAGCACTTGGAAAGAATGCACATTCTAGTGTTTTTGGCTAGGAATTTCATAAATACACATTAGATTCTCTTGGTTGATGGTGTTGTTTAGTTCTGAATTCTTGCTGATTTTCTGTCTAAGTTGTTCTATCACTTGTTAAGAGAGGGTGCTGAAATATCCAACTTTGATTGTAGATCTATTTTTCCTTCCACTTCTGCCAATTTTTGCTTCACAAAATTTGCATCTTTGTTACTTAGTGTATACATACTAAATATATATGGAATACATAGGAATGCTCTGTCTTCTTCTATCATTATATAATGTCCTAGTTTGTCACTTTCTGGTCATTTTCTTCCCTCTGATGTCTACTTTATCTGACATTAGTATGGTCATTCTTGATATATTTTTATTAAACTTTGCATAATACATTTCCCACCTTTTTCATTCAATCTGCCTATATCATACTTGAAGTGAAGTTTCTTGTAGACAGCATACAGTTAGACAATTTTTAATCAATCTCTTTGCTTTAATTGGTGTGTTTACACCATTTACATGTAATGTAATAACTGATGTTAGAGCATAAGCCTAACATTTTTTTGTTTTCTATTTGTTCTTTAGGAGTTTTTTTTGTTTCTCTCTTTTCTTTTTCCTACCTTCCTGTGTGTTATTAGAACATTTCTTAGAGTTCCACTTTGATATATCTGTAGTGTTTTTTAAAACTGTTATCACATTGTATAGCTTTTATTGTGGTTGCTCCATACATAACTTATTAGTTTACTGGTATTGTCATTTTACCAGTTCAAGAGCAGGGTGGAAAACTTACCTCCCTTTACATCCCTTTACCATCCCCATTTATAACTGTCTTAAAAATTTCCTCTCTAGGGGCGCCTGGGTGGCTCAGTGGGTTAAAGCCTCTGCCTTCAGCAGGGTCCTGGGATCGAGCCCCGCATCGGGCTCTCTGCTCGGCAGGGAGACTGCTTCCTCTTCTCTCTCTCTGCCTGCCTCTCTGCCTACTTGTGATCTCTATCTGTCAAATAAAATAAATAAAATCTTTAAAAAAATTGTCCTCTCTATATACTTAGAACTATATCAGACATAATCAGATATAATTTGGGATTCAACCATCAAACATAATTTAGGAAACTCAAGGAAAGCCTATCATATTTACCCATATTTTTGTTTACTGTGTTTTTCTTCTTTACTGATATCCCAAGATTCCTTTTTTTTTTTTAAAGTGGGCTCCATGTCCAACATGGGGTCGAACTTAAAACCCTGAAATCAAGAGTCGCATGCTCTCATTGAATCCCAAGATTCTTTTCTTTTTAATTGATTCCTTCCATTTGGAGAACTTCCATCACCCATTCTTTTAGGGTAGGTGTACTGGAAACAAATTCTCTTCCTGAAGGATATTTTCACTGGATATAGAATTCTGAGTTAACATTTCTTTTCTCTCAGCACTTGAAAAATATGTATCCTTCTTTCTGACCTCTATGGTTTTTGATGAGAAGTCTACTGTCCCTCAAATTGTTATTGCTTATGAATAATGTGTCATTTCTCTTTCACTGCTTTCAAGATTTTTTCCTTGCCTTTAGTGTTCAAGAACTTTGACTATGATGTCTTTTGGTGTGGATTACTAATTATGATGCCATGAAGTTTTCCCCCATGTTTTCAGCATGTTGCTCCTCTGCTGTGAAGTTGCCTGGATCTCCCTGCTTCCTGTAGCAACATATATCAACACTTCTCCTAGGGAAGAAATATAAATACTCAAAATAAAGTGAGGCACTCACTTTAAAAAAGGATGGAGAAGAAAAACCAAAGATATAAAATAAAAGATTAATATAAGAAACATAGAGAAATAATTGAGAATGTTCAATATCTGACAAACACAAGTCTCAGAGGAAAAAAACAGACAAAATTAGGAATACAGTTATTAAGGCAATAATAGTAGAGATGAAATAGTTCCAGATATGAAAAAGCATAAATTGTTAGAACATATAAGACATTAAATGACATATAATATAGAACATATCAATGAAGTGTAAGAGAAAACTAAATACATTTTCAGACATGTGGAGACAAGAGTTTATTTTTCATGTACTGTCTCAGGAATCCACTTGAGGATCTACTGTAGCAAAGAGAGGGACTTTTTTTTTTAAAGGAGATAAGTAATCTATCAATGGACTTAACTAGGAGAGGTATGACAACAAGATGATAGTTTTGTTCACACTTAGAGATCATTTAGCCCAGGAAGAACCAGAAAGATAGGGGGCTTTGGGTAAGAAATATGGGAACCTGAATTATTGATTTAAAGAAATTTGAAGATCGGGGCGCCTGGGTGGCTCAGTGGGTTAAGCCTCTGCCTTCAGCTCAGGTCATGATCCCAGGGTCCTGGGATCGAGCCCGAGCCCCGCATTGGGCTCTCTGCTCAGCAGGGAGCCTGCCTCCCTTCCTCTCTCTGTGCCTGCCTCTCTGCCTACTTGTAATCTCTGTCTGTCAAATAAATAAATAAATAAATCTTTAAAAAAAAAGATATTTGAAGATATGGTAAAACCAACTGATGGAGTCTAAAATGGTGAATCTATTTGATCTTGATTCTAGGAACACTCTGTTTTCAATGACACAGGAAACACAAGAATAGATCAAAGGAGCAGAAAACACAGTCTTTACCACTAAGTAATATGGCTCTGCAATGAATAATGTATGTTAAAAATATAACATAAAATTTAACATCATAACCATTGTTCAGTGTACAGGTCAGCAGTGTTAAGTATATTCACATTGCTGTGAAACAGATCTTCAGGACGTTTTCATTTTGCAAATCTGAAACTCTATAGCCATTAAACAAAATTCCCCTTTTCCTCCTCCCCCCATCCCTGGTAACCACCATTCTACTTTCTGTTTGTATGAATTTAACAACTTTAGAAACATGATTTAAGTGGAATCATACAGTATTTCCTTTTTGTGACTATCTTATTTCACTTAGGATATTGCCCTCAAAGTTCATCCATGCTGTCGCATGTGATAGGCTTGCCTTCTTTTTTTAAGGCTGAATAATAGTCCACTTTTTAAACACACACACACACACACACGCACACACACACACAATCACATTTTTTTTATTCATTCATCCATATGTGGGTATTTGGGTTGCTTCCATCTCTTACCAGTTGTGAATACTGCTGCTATGAATATGGGTGCATGAATATCTCTTTGAGATCCTGCTTTCAATTCCTGAAGATACACACCCAGGAATGAAATTGCTGGATCATATAGAAGTTCTCTTTTAAATGTCTTGAGGAGCCTCCATACTGTTTTTTTTTAAAAGATTTTATTTATTTATTTGACAGAGAGAGCTCACAAGTAGACAGAGAGGCAGGCAGAGAGAGTGGGGGGAAGCAGGCTCCCCGCTGAGCAGAGAGCCCAATGCGGGGCTCAATCCCAGGACCCTGGGATCATGACCTGAGCTGAAAGCAGAGGCTTAAACCCACTGAGCCACCCAGGCGCCCCTCTCCATACTGTTTTTATAGCAGTTGCACCATTTTACAATCTCATCAACAGTGCACAAAGGTACCAGTTTCTCCACATCCTTGCAAACACTTGCTATTTCCTGGTTCTTGATATCAGTCATCCTCATGTGTGTGAGGAAATACCCCAGTATGGTTTGGATTTCCATTTCTCTGATGGTTAGTGATGTTGAACATTTTTCCATATTTTTGTTGGTCATCTGCACATAATCTTTGGAGAAATTTCTGTTCAAGTACTTTGCTCATTTTTAAATGTGGTTACTTGATATTTTGTTGTTTCTATTGGATTGTAGGAGTTCTTAAATATTGACATTAACCACTTATCAGATAAAAGATTTGCAAATATTTTCTCCCATTCAGTAGATCCTCTTTTCACTGTTTACTGTGTTTTTTGACGCATAAAACTTTAAGTTTGATGTAGTGTCATTTGTCTATTTTTGCCTTCGTTGCTTTTGTTGTCATACCCAAGAAGTCATTGCCAAATTCAATATCATGAAGCTTTTCTCCTGTGCTTTCTTCTATGAATTTTACAGAGCAATGAATATTTTGAGAGAGAGAAAATCAGCCTCTTATAAATAGGAACTGGCCTAGCACTCACAAATCGGCCATCATCTTCTGTTGAATACAAACAACTTCACAGAACAACATCGTTAAAGATCACTGTGACAAGATAGAACAAAACTGCAGTAAGATGACACCATGATCATGCTTGAGCAGAGACAAAAACAAGAACATTGTAAAACCAAAAAAATGACCAAGTCCTTTGTCCTGGCTTATTATGAGTGAATACTGGTTTAAAAAAATATTTACAGGGGCGCCTGGGTGGCTCAGTGGGTTAAAGCCTCTGCCTTTGGCTCAGGTCATGATCCCAGGGTCCTGGGATTGAGCCCCACATCAGGCTCTCTGCTCAGCAGGGAGTCTGCTTCCCTTCCCCTCTCTCTGCCTGCCTTTCTGCCTGCTTGTGATCTCTGTCTGTCAAATAAATAAATAAAATCTTTAAAAAAAATTTACGGCTTTAACCTCACTTTCTTTTTTTCATCTCCTAAATAAAATTCAGTAAGACCTCTAAATGGAATTACTGCCATTCACTGAAAGCATCCAATCCAGGGCTACTTCCTTGAACCCTATGCAAAATCACCTAACACAAGCCCAAAACTTATAGCTCCTTTAAAAAAAAAATTTTAGGGGCACCTGGGTGGCTCAGTGGGTTAAGCCTCTGCCTTCAGCTCAGGTCCTGATCTCAGGGTCCTGGGATAGAGCCCCGCATCAGGCTTTCTACTCAGTGGGGAGCCTGCTTCCCCATCTCTCTCTGCCTGCCTCTCTGCCTACTTGTGATCTCTCCCTGTCAAATGAATAAATAAAATATTTTAAAAAATATATAAAAAAAGATTTTATTTATTCATTTGACAGAAAGAGAAAGAGATGCAGTGAGAGAAGGAACACAAGCAGGGGGAGTGGGAGAGGGAGAAGAAGTAGGCTTCCCACTGAGCAAGGAGTCCAATGCAGGGCTCCATTCTAGGACCCTGAGAACCAGGACCTGAGCCAAAGGCAGAGGCTTAATGACTGAGCCACCCAGGTGCCCCTGTATAGCTCCTTTTTAAGGCGCTATTCCTAAGGTGACCCATGCTTTCCCAGAATGTGCAGTTTCCCTCATTACCAGTCAATAAACCCAACTTTGTTCTGAATCAGTGTGTCCCTGGTGATTTTTGGATGCAGGGCATTCATAATTTATATGTCATTAAAGGTGAATTTTTAATGTTGATTTTCAGCAAACGGGTGTACAGACAAAAGGGGGAATTCTTAGCTATGGCTATGGAGTAAAAAAATGTCATCAACCTTGACAAAAGTAAAAGTTAATTTGACAGAGATCTGAAAGTGTTAAGGGAGAAAGAAGGTAAGAGAGAAAAAATAAGAATTATATTCCTCTGTCATACAAATAAATGCAAAGGAACTATTGTTAGTGGAACAATAAATGTTAGTGGAATAATAAATAAAAGGTTTCAGTTTGTGCAGGGAAGTACTGGAAAACAGTGACACAGCCATATGTGAAGAATGGGTGAGAGAAGTTTTAAGTGTGCTAGGTACTAAACAACAGCAGGAAATTGAGGAAATTGTTAAAGTTTATGAAAAAGTTACAAACACATTCTTTAATAATATAGAAATGAATATAAAAAGAACTAGAAATAAAAGGTTTAAAAGTACTTTCAATGGGATAAAATGAAAAATAATACCAAGCGTTGGCAAAAATGTGGAGGAACTGGTACATCCAGACTGTACTGACAGCAGTGTAAACTGGTAGAACCAGTTTGGAAAACTATTTGGAAGTATCTACTAAACGTGACCATGTACTTTGTAAATGAGCAGGAATTTCACTCCTAAGTATATACCAACAGAAAGGCATATACATGTTGGCCAAAGGACATGTATGAGAATGTTCAAAGCATGTTGCACCGACCCAAATATCCATCTACAGAAGGATGGGCAATAAATTGTGGAATATTCACATAATGGAATACTATAGAGAAATGAGAATAAAAAACTAAAATTAAAACCAGTATCATGGACAAATATCATAAACATAATGTTTAGTGAAAGCAGACAGACACACAAAGAGTTCATACTCTACGATTCCATTGATATAAATTCAAAATAGGCAAAAACTAAAACATACTATTGGCAGTCAGCATATTTGTTATACTTGGGCTGGTAGTGACTTTAAGAGGTGATTTCTGTGACACTTGAAATGCTAGCAATGTTTCATTTCTTCATCAAGATACTGGTACCAAGTATGTTCACTTTCTGAAAACACACTGAGCTGATGTTAGGGTTTGTTCCCTTTTCTGTATGTATAATTCAATAAAAAATGTTTTTTTTTAAAGTTTGCCAGTGTGGATCAGAGCTATGAAAGAAAAGTAGAAGATTGTTGCCTTTTAAAAAAACATTTACTTACTTATTTGAGAGAGAGAGAGCAGGTGGGTGGGAAGGGCAGAGAGAGAGAGAGAATTTCAGGTTGACTTCCTGTTGAGCCCAGAGCCCCACGCAGGAGGATTCCTACCCAAGATCAACACCTGAGCCAAAATCAAGAGTCCAAATTCTTAACCATAGGAGCTACCCAGGTGCCCAGGTTGTTGTTGCCTTTTGTCAGGTTTTCTAACACACTACATTTGTTATCATGTGCATTTATTCCTTTGAAAACAAAATAAAATTATGTAAAAACTTTTATTTTTGCTATTTAACATCAAAAACACTGTGAGTGTGATGAAACAATGGATGGAATACAGAGAAAAACAATATTTGATTTCATTAAAATAGTGCACCCTGACAAATACCATCAGGAGTAAACATCTGAGAAAAAAGCATGCATAGATTTCAGGTGGCATTGTGTAAATAGATGCAATGACATAGAATTCAGCTTTTCAAAACCAGACAAGATAAAGTTCAAAGAATAAATTCACTACAAAAGGGAAATCATACCTGAAGGAGGGGTTTTTCTCCATGACGTGCTCAAACTCGGCCTTTGGGGACATTAGAGATAAATGACAAAAACAAGGCATTATGATCCCATCCCTAACTGAATCCAAAGCTATTCCGGAAGGTGGCATTTCCCTCTATTTCTTCGCCAGCGCCATTCGATGTAAATTTGGGAATAATTGGCTTCAAAAACTTGAAGTCGCCGGTCTCAGATCCTCCCCTCAGACACACCTCATACTGGTAGCTGTGGGACAGGGTCCCCGCGCCG